CCCTCCCTCCCAGCCCAGCTAAGCCAAAACACAGGATTTTATTTATTTGTTGATTCATTTTTGTTTTTGTTTTGATGCCTCATTTTTTGTTTTGTTGATGCATTTTTGTTTTTTTTTGATCCCTCACCCCTGCCGTCGCAGAGTCCGGATGCCAGTTCACCGCAGGCTTGCAGGCATGGCAGTGTAAGTTTTACCGTCGGATCGAGGCAAGATTCGTTCCCTTGAGTCCGGTCCGCGGAAGTTGCGCTACGGAATGGTGGAGGACTGGACCGGGCTAACCCTTCTGGCGTATTTCTTTCTTGAGAGGTTTCCGTGAGGCTGGCAACTTTGCAATGTTTTACACCTTGTCGCTCGACAGCAGAACATGAAGAACCACAATGCAGGAGCCACTGCTTCTTGTCAGGAGCTCCAGGAAGAGACTGCCCGGCAGCTGCTGAAGAACTCTCACGATCTTCACGCTTCTGATGGAGGGCCGCCAGGCTTGTCAGCTTCACGAAGGCTTGTGAAGCTCAAGCCGTTGATTCTAGTTGTGGCAGGGATGCTGGTGAAGTCCAACACTATGAAGTCTGTGAAGCAGGCCAAGTGTTGTCAACCATTTGTCTGTGACTCCTGTGTCACTGTGTGTACCATCTCTTCGCTCAATTTGCACCTTGACTTCGCATGCTCGTGCCCCGTGGTGCTCGTGAACGCCGGAGGGATTGAATCGTTGCCAAAGATGCCGAGATCAAGAGTCGCCGGAGTAAGATGCAAGCTGTGTCTCTGTTCGTCCCGCAGCTTGAGAGCTTCATTTTCTTCTTGCCTCTCGCTGTTGCAGAAGTTTGTGCTCCGGCTGAGCGGAAGGCTTTGGAAGCATCAAGAATAGTGGAAATTACTCGGACGAGTTTGGGCTTCGGGACATCGCCATGCCACTGAATAGCCTGTAGGCCCTGTAGGCACCTTCAGCAAGCTATGTTCGGCGAAATATGTGGATCACGAGGATGTGATAGTTCTCTTCAGTTCAAGTTTGTGTAAGCATTCTAAGTTAGTGTAAGCATTCTAAACACTACGAGGTTCTGTACTTCCAATATACGCATACATACATACATACATACATACATACATACATACGTGCGTGCGTGCGTGCGTGCGTGCATGCATACATACGTATACACACATGTCTCTCTCTCTATATATATGTGTATATATATATATACATATACATATATATATATAATATAATAAATATATACACACATACACACACACACATATATATATATATATATGTATTTATCTGATATAAGGAGTAGCGGAAACTGTTACTAATGTTTGAATAGCGCTTACTCCGGACATCCTCAAGTGCTGGGCGGAGGGACAAACATTGATTTTGATCGAATTTGACAGGATGCTGTACGGAGGATGAGTCGCTACTGGGCTGATGATGTCATTTTGCGACTCGCGAACTGCAGTCTCGGACCATTCCTTGCATATTCCCTGCATGCAAGTCCTGGCACATGCTGTGGCCTGTTGTAGTTTTGCGAGTTTCGGGGTAAGGCCTCTCTATGGATCAGCTTCGTGAGAACTATGATGCGGTCCTTGCCAGCCCTTTGAAGCGTATGGAAAGCGCCTTGATTGGAAGCAGGTCTTCAAAACACAGTTGGATCAGCGATCAGTGCAGCAAGCGAGGGCAATGCCTGGAGTAGAGCAAGTTCGGCTCATGTTTTCAGTTGTTTCTGCTCAGTCCAGACTTATGCCTCTCAGGCAACGTTGTTCTTCGACAGCAGCGAACGGTGACAGATTCTACTGCTACGCCATTGCCGAGAGTGGAAGCTTGGATTCTTCTGGGTTGTGACGAGACATGTCTTGTAATTCTTGAACAATAAAGTACAGCGTAGCATCATCAAGTCACATGTTTTGGTCCCGCGAACGGTTTACGGGCTTGACTGAGCACGACAATCAAGTCGGTAAATCTACCAAATAATAAACCAGGAACGCAGAAACAAATCAACTGCAAAACAGTTCAAATTGAGAAAGAGGTTACAGCTCACCAAGGGATGGCTTCTACTGGTGCTTTCGGGAATTATGGATGTCAGACCTGGCAGACTCTGGCAAGTGCTTTCGCACTGGCACGTGGTCGATTCCTCTTTGCTGGCGGTGGCACTTTGCTACCTGGGTGCAGCTGGGCTGCATCTGTGCCCGCTCGTCTGGGCTTCGCTGACCTGAGGACACGTCGCTTTGTAGGTGTGTGAGGATGTGTCAGTGCATTTGATGGAGAGCTTTTTCTTGTCTGGATCACTCGCATTGTTGATACAGTTCCAGTTCGGGTCGGTTGCTTAGATTTGCCTCGGGATGTCCGTGTTGTGTCTGAACTGCAGAGCATCGTGACATTTCGAGGCCTACTCCAATCTTCATCATTTCCCTGCCATCACAACGGCATGTTACCTTTTGGGTGCCATGCCGCTTGTCTGGAAGTCTTAACCAGTCTCAGTCATTGCCCAGGTCCTCGGGTTGAAACTT